CCTGGGGGTGCTGGGAGGTGCTGGGAGTCCCCTGTGGGGTCTGGTCCTGAGAGGGTCTCCAGCCCCTGGGGTGTCCTCTCACCTCACATAAACGACACACACCGTCACCCTAAGTAGGATCAAAGGCCCCAGTACGCCCAGGTGAGGCCTGTGATTGTCCCCATTTAATAGAGCAGGCATTGGAGGCACAGAGAGGCCAGGCTCTTCCCCTCGGTCACACAGCAAACAGCTGGTGTCTGGGCCCGGCCTCTCAGGCAGGCTCAGCTTGGCACTGCGTGACTCAGTGCAACCACACGCAGAGTTCTCAGTGGCTGATGCTTAAAAGTAGATTTCCAGGTCTTTCTTCTGAGGTGCTGCCAACTACTGGTTGAACTGTTTCTGCCATCCAGGGACTGCTGAGGTGCAGAGAGTTGTCTTCTATTGTGTTCTAGGGCAGAGGGACAGGCCATGTGTGGGATGACCACAGGAGCCCTGGTGGCACAGTGGGTGAAAGCGCTCAGGAGAAAGCTGAGGCTGCCTGCCCCTGTGAGCGTCTCGGGAACACTGGGGAATTAACTCAACAGCACAGGCCTGTGACTTTTCCGAACGCAGTGTCAGGTTCATCCGGTCCTGCTGGGATCAGAAGTCTGGACTTCTTAGGACCTACATGCTGAGTGAACGGGTGGCCGGCTCTTCTATAATGAGGACACTGAGAGCCCGAGTTAGAAAGGGACAGGGGCCTGCCACACCGTCTCCCTCCCCTGCCAGCAGCCTGCAGGAAGCTGGGTTTTTGTCCTAGGTGGATGTTTCCGTGGAAACACATTGTAACCTCCCAGCAAGTTAGAGTAGGGAAGGAAGTGGCAGAGCGGCACCTAGAGTCCCCCCCTCCGCAGCCCTGTTGTCCTGTTAAGTGTCCTCCAGTCGCACTGCCGAACGGACACCACCTGGTCCTGTGCCAGCTTCCGCAGGTGTCAGTGAGCCCCTAACACACACACAAAGGGCACCTTAGGGGGCTGTGCAATTTGGTGCTGGAGGACAAGCCCAGGATAGCCGACCGCATGGTCAGCTGTTCATCCCAGCACCGCTGTGAGCCGTGACTGGCTGGAGACACCCTAACTCTCCTGGGCCGTAGGTGCACCCTTTGGAGCATACACTCCAGTGGCTTTAACACAAGGAGACCTCGGAGGTGTTGTGGCTTCAGTTCCAGACCACCACAGTAAAGCAAGTATCACGGTCAAACGAGTTGCACACGTTTTGGGGTTTCCTAGGGCATACAGAAGTTACGTTTACACCAGGCTGTTGTTCATAATAAGGGTGGAAAAGTCAGAACGTGGCGATCGCCCAAATGTGATCCAGACGTGACATGAGCGTGTCATATTGGGAACATGGCACCAGTCCCTTCCTTAGTGAGTGTAGGTTATCAACACCCCGCTGCTTGTTAAAAACACCCACCTGCAAAGCACAGTTCACTGAGGTATGCCTGTCTTCCCAGCACTGTGCAGCCATCGCCCTGTCGACTTCGAGAACATGGTCATGGTCTCACACGAGAAATCCCGTGCCCAGTAGCAGTTAGCTCCATTCTCACCCACCCCTCCCAAACCCACTGCCACCAGGTAGGGTTCGGACTCACAGTGACCCTGTAGGACTGAGGAGGACTTTCCAAGACTGTCATCTTTACAGGAGCGCATGACCTCATGGTTCTCCCATGGAGCTTCTGGTGGGTTTGAACTGCCGACCTTGTGGTTAGTAGCCCAGCCACCGTTAGTCTACCCTCTGTCTCTGTGGAGTCACCTGTCCTGGACGTGCCCTCTGTGTCTGACTGAGTTCACGTTGCGGCCCTGAACACGGAGTGTAGGTTTTTGTGTGGGCAGAAGGCTCTCCTTTCTCTTAAGAACAGAGTGGGCTTGCTGGTTCACAGGCACACTAGGTGGTTAGCCATTTGAGAAACTGCCAGACGGCCTCACCAGCAGTCTCCGAGGGTCCCTGTCACACACTGGTGTAGCTGGCGTGCTTGCAGCCCTAGGCCTGCGTGTGCCGGATGCCCTGTGGTCGTCCCAAGGGAGGGAAGAAGCACCACGTTTTTGTTACTTTTTCCCTTACTTGTTAGTGGCCATTGGGTGGGCTTGCACTATGGTGACCCCACATTGCTCAGTCCTGCGCCAGGTCCTGGATCTCTGCTTGTGTGCGAGCCCATCTCATGGGAATCCTCCCTCGTGTTCACTGACCCTCCACTCCACCAACCACGATGCCCTTCGTCAGCAATCCATCTTTCCCCAAGTGTCCGAAAAGCAGGCAAGATCCGTTCTGTGTAAGAATTTGTAGATTTCGTGCAGGAAAAGGAGCCCTGGTGGTGTACTGTAGGGTAAGCAGTGGATTGCTAACCATAAGGTCAGCAGTTTATACGCACCAGCAGCTCTGGGAGAAAGATGAGGCTTGCTTCTGTAAAGATTGACAGCCTCCGACCCCACCCCCGGGCAGGGCACAGCAGGGGGTTGGATTGGGTTAGCGCCAGGAAAGGCCGGGAGCCTCGTGGGTGGTTTAAAAGCTGCACCTGCAGCAAGCCAGCTGTGATGAAGACGTTCCCAGGAGGGAGCTGCTTTGTCAGAGGGCAAGTGAGGCTTGTCTGGTAAGGAGCACTCTGGCTGCACTTCCTCCAAACAGGTGTGCTCCTCTCCTGGCAGCCTGTGGCGGTGTATTCCTGAGTCTCCACCATGACTCAGGTGCATCTGAGGCATTGAAAGAGAGAGACGGCTTAGGTCAGGCGTGTCTTAGTCCTCAAAGTCTCAGCTTCGGTTTTGAACACTTTCAAGGGTCTTTGTAACAGACCCGCTATGCATGCTTTGACTTCTGGACTGCAGCTTCTTGAGACTTGATTGTTGACACACACACACACCCCCCCATAATGGAATCCTTGACATCTCCCCCTGTGGTTACATAAGTAATTGTCACTTATCACAAAAACATTAGCAAGGAGCCCTGTGGTGTAAGATTGGGGTGCTCTGCTGCGAACCGGAAGGCCCACCCAGTGGCCCCACAGGAGAGAGCCCTGATCATTTGACCCTGTAGAACCCTCCCCACTGCCCCGGCCTGCCTCCTCCCCTCTCCTCGTCCCTCCCCTTTTCATCCTACCTGGTCCCCTGAGGTGGCGCTGTAGGATTAGCACTGGGAGTACATCAGCAGTTCAAACTCAGCAGTTGCTCCTTGGAAACCCTATTAGTTGGAACCGACTCCACTGCGCTTAAACAACAAACCACGTTCCATTGATTTCTCTGTCCGTCTGTCCCTCTGCCATCGTGCCCCAGGTTAGGCTGTGGCATGCATGACCTGAGGGAGGAGGGGTGTGGCTACGACGAAGGACAGGGACGTGGGAGGGTGCGGGCCCCTTGCCCTCCAGCTGAGCACGCGCAGCAGCCCTGCCCCTGCCAGATAATAACCGCCTGCTGCTGGTCCTCATTAGGCTGCAATAAAGACAGACAGCGAGTGGGCGGCCAGCGGCTGTCTGTCCTGTAATTAACCAGGACAGACCGCTTGCCGGGTTTTACAGAGTGATGCTGGCCCACGCGATTTCACCCGTGCTCTCTTGTCTTTCACTGGTCCTGTGCCCTCCCCGCCGGCCTCCTCCAGCCTTTGGGTGGGGGGCCTGAAGCTGGTGCTCCGCTGGGCCACCGATGGCCGCAGGGTTGTGAGCATCCCCTCTGCTCAGCTTTCTGCCACCATGGCCTGGCCAGGTGGTGCCTGGGGGCCCTGACAAGCCTGCCCGGTTTAGTTCTAGAGGTCCTTGAGGACCAGCTGGTCCTTTCACCCCCACCCCTGGGTGGTGCAGAGGGTGTGTGCACTCCGATGCTCACTGAAAGGTTGGGGGTTGAGTCTACACAGAGGCACCTCAAAAGAAAACACTGGCAGTCTGCTGGAAAATCAGCCCAGGACCCCAGTGTGGGCAGGGAGCCAGGGGTGAGACCCCCCGAGTTCTACCAGACTCATACCACCTTTAGAGGAAGAGCAGGACCGTATACTCCCTGCGGCCTCGCCTGGCTCTGCCCCCGAATGCCTCAGTTTATGATGTCACGGAGCACCTGTGGGGTGTGTGATGCCACACCTGGTGAGTGGACGCAGGAGCAAGGCAAGGCCACCTGCTTCTCCAGTGCTTCCAGCCTCAGGAACCTAGGGGCTGGTTCTGCGCAGCTCTGTAGGGCCTCTCGGAGTTGGCATCATGAGATACCTGTGTGAGCTCACGGAGTCATATAGCACCTGACTCCTGGGGTGGCACTGGACGGCGAACCACAAGGCCGGCAGTTCAAACCCACCAGCCGCTGCTGGTAAACCCTATCCAGGCTTGCTGTGAGTGGGAGCCAACTTTATGGCACCTAACAACATCATGTAATACCTGTGTGATATCAGGGTACCACACGGGACAGGGGTTGCCTCGAGTCAGTTCCAAGTCAGCAATCCACTCAGGGTATTGAAGGCTGTGATCTTTACGGAAGCAGAAAGCCTCACCTTTCTCCAAAGGAGCGGTTGATAGATTCAAACCGCTGACCTTGCAGTAACTCATAACACGCCACACTATCAGGGCTCCTTAGGATGTCTGTGATGGTGCCTGTAAAGCCTGACTGGCACCTGGCATGTAGCCCATGTGTAGAGGGCAGAGTTGTGGCGTAGTCTGTCCTGACTGCCATCTTCATGCAAACACCCCCAGACCTTTCCTCTGCAGCTCCACTTAGTTGATTGACACCGCCAACCCTCCTATTAGTAGCTCTGGGACAGTCAGTCATCTGTGCCCCTAGAGAACCGTCTTGTGTATAGTACTCGCCAAGGCCTTGGGCTGGTGTCTGGCTCCCCAGGCAGTGGAGATGCTAAGGAGACTGAGGCTTGGCTGTGGGCCCCACAGGGGTGATGTGGTACCGGCTGAGGCTGCACTGTAAACCTCCCTGTACTTGTTGGAGGGATTTACCTGCCCTCAAACACCGGGAGGTTGGCCAGCAATCAATCCTGTCCCTCCACTCTTTCCTGACAGGGACCCCAACATGGAGCTGCGGGAGGAGGCCTGGTCTCCGGGGCCACTGGACTCCGAGGACCAGCAGATGGCCAGCCACGAGAACCCAGGTGAGTAGCTTCTCTGGGACCCCTCATTCCAGAGACCTTGGCCGAGTGCCCTCCAGGTGTCCTTCCTACTGGCCAGGCCATCACCCTTTGGACACACTTGGGGTGGGGGGGCTCTTATCTGCCCATGTCTGGTTCTCTGTTCCAGGGGCATCCACCTCAGTGCTCGTGGGAAAGAGGGCAGGGAGCTGGATGTCTGCCATGTTGTGAAATGGTTTGAAGTGTTGGCAGCATTTAAAACCAAACAGAATTGGGGTCATATGGTGTGACCCCAGCCTTCCCCCCCATTCCTCAGTCTGTCTCACTGAAGTCTGTGCACCTCTGTCCAGGGTTCCCACGGGGTGTCCTCAGGGTGGGCATAAAGCTGGCTGCCTCCTAGCTGGATGTTCCTCCCACCAGCATGGGGTCTCCAGAGACGTCTAGAAAGGACGCATGTTGTAAGCCACCCAGTTCTAGTCATCTTGTGACTTTACTGTCGTAGTGTGGAGCAGCCCCAGAGCAGACCATCTCCCTGCAGGACTTGATCCACAAAAGCAGGTGGCAGGCCATAGCTTGTCAGCCCCTCCCTGTGAGAATCCATAGTCACCCAAGAAGAGTGCAATCCTGGGGTCCCAGACAGAAACGGCACAGATCTCTAATAGTCTGCCAACTACCCTACCACTTAGGAGCTGAGTCGACAAGTGTTACCACCAGGTTCCAATTCATGTGTGCATTGGTTTGTGCCAAATAAAACATGTTTAACTTGTCTCTGATCACCTGACGACTGCAGACAAGCTCTCTTGTTAGTCTCTTTGGGGGCCTTCAAAACACGTCCGGTCAGAACAGCAGGTTCCGAGGGCATCTGTTGGGCCGGCTCATTTCAGGCAGAAGGTTATGGTAACTTTTCTGTGGAATGCCCAGGGGTCATCTCGGTAGAGTTTCTTTAAGGACAGGATGATCACAGCGGTTTTTTAAGGAGAAGGTTTAAGGAAAATGGAAAACGGAATTGATCAGGAAAAGGCCTGCAAAGCAGTCCCAAGGAATTTGCCCGTTGGGACAGTGTACCTGCTCCTTCTTTGAGGGCAGTTAAGGACTGTCCTGCGAGAATGTCTCTGGGAAACCTTATCTTATTGACCCTACCACCCTGATCTTCTTGCCCCTTCACACTTCTTTTGGTTCCTAAAACTCAAAGAACATCGAAAAGAAATACAATTTGACTCCCTTGAGGATGCCCAGCTGCCCCTTTTTGTGCTCTGGAGACTGAAGAGTGCGAGTGTTTTGTGGGGGAGGGGTTAGAGAGGTGGGCACGCCACTCCAGAAGTATGTGGGCCCAGATGGAGGAGCTGCCGAGAAACAAGAGCTTCACAGTTCTTTTTGCTTAATCGTGCCTGCTTTGATTTTGTAACAGTCCTTTTTTAGTTTCCCTCGCGTTTCTAAGATGCCATAGAAGGATGTGGACGTAACGTCCCTGAGGGCCAGGACCACGGCTGTCTTCATTCTAAAAAACGAAGCCACTTGCTGCGGAGTTGCCTCCGACTCCTCGTAGAGTAGACTGCTTCACAGGGCTCGCAGTGACTGCTCTTCCAGGTGCAGACTGCCAGGGCTTTCTTCTGAGGTGCCTCCAGGCAGTCTTTTCATTAGCAGTCAAGCACAGACTGCCTACACCACTCAGGGGCTGAGTCTTGATTCTCCAGAGGAAGAAATGGAGTCCCTGAGGACATGCAGCCGTGGGGTGCACATGTCCCCTGGCCACCAGGCCCTCTTCTTGAGCATACACACAAAGCCTGGTCACAAGCCTGTGTCCAGACCATTCACTCAAGACTCCTGCAAGTTAACAGCCAGAAGCTCGAAACAATGGCAAAACTCACTGTAGGGTTTCTGAGGCTGTAAATCTTTATGGGAGCAGATAGCCTCATAGAGCAGCTGGTGGGTTTGAACCGCCTACCTTACAGTTAGCAGTCGTGATCTTACCCTAATAGCACCATCTATAATCTCATCTGGTACCCCAGCCAGCTGAAATTGGGTCCCCTTGTCTCCAAAGTGTGTGTTGTCCTTTGAGCCAAGTGCATTTTTCATTTTATGAGTCATCTACTAATTCATTCTTTTTATAAGACATTTCAAAAGTACAGGCAGGCCTCGGGCTCGGCACCCTACCTAACCCGACACCACTTGCTCCCCTCTTCCTAGCCCTGGAAGTGTTGGGCATCTCTCCCCCATGGGCAGTGCCCTGCCTCATCACGGTAGGAACCGGTGGCCAAGCTGCTTACCGCCAACACCACAGGCTCTGTAGGTCCGCAGTAGAGATGGGGGCAGGAGTGTGTGTCAAAAGCTGGCTGTGGCTGTGGTGTGGGGAAGGGACAGGGGTATGTTTTTCCTTCCCTGGAAGGTGAGTGGGTGGGGTCCCATGCCAGCAGCTTAGCTTAGTATCTTGGAGAGCCTGGGTAAGGGGGGCCTGAAGAGAACCAGCGTTAGCAACCCCACTGTCCCCCTATATCTGACCACTCAACGGTCATCCCTTGGGAGAGGCGCTTTGGTGATGGGCGTGCGTGCGTGTGTGAATGCGTGCATCTGTGCCTGCCGTGTGCCGGGTTCCCAGGCATCGGCTTCTTAGGCTATAATAAATTAAAGCTGTAACACCTTCCTTCCCTGCCTACTCTTCACACCTTTTCTGTGAAGGTGTTTACACTCACACACCATCAGGAAGGTTCACAGAGCTTCCCTTGTCACCAGAAGCATTCTGCTCAATGCCAACTTCCAGCATTGTCCCTGTATGGTAAACCAGACACACTTAGAAACCGCAAAGAGCTCCGTTTACAGAGTGCCCCTGGTGCCCCTCCGCACTTCCAAGCCTTGTTCTAGAGGCTGCAGTCCTTGAACTCGCTCGAGTGGGTCTCTCTGCCTAACTAGACACCACGGCAGGTAGATCCCGAGCCGGCGGATGCCCCACACACACACCCCAACTTGGACCCAGCTGTATCAGCGCGCTAAAAAACCAATTTTAAATGAACTTGTTTTGTTGTGGTACTGTGAGGGTCAGTATATTTAGTGCATTGCCTGGAAGACTGAACACAAAAACTTTCATTGTAATCACAACACAGCCCACCCATATCCGTCCAGTGGGGAGTGCGCCTGATGGTCGGCCGGACGGGTGGACCCACTGAGGGAAAGCAGATGCCCCGCCTGGTGGGCATACTGTCTGCAGGCAGTTCCCCATCCCCCCACCTCTGCCTCTAAGTGTTAACGCTGCTGCCACCATCTCTCTCCATCTCTGTCCATCGCTGCTGATCTACCTGGATTGATTTCCTGCTGCCTCAGGCGATTCAAGGAACACTAGTTAAATACTCTGCCTTAGAGCCCTCCTACTCCTAAATAAAAAACCAACCAGCTCAAGCCGAGTGCCCCATCACAAGTGGGTTTTGACAGTGTTCCCGCTGGGTGAGGTACAGTGCTAACGCTTGCAGCACTGCTGGACAGGGCCCTAGAATGGTGGTGGTTCTTCAGTCACCTGGAGTCTCCACCCCCAGGGTTGCTCGGTTTAGAGAACCAGCGTGGGGCTGAGAACACGTAGCACGTCGCCAGTGCTACAGGTCTGGGGCTCTGAGAAGCCTGGGTGGCGTGGTGGCTAAGCGCTGAGCTGCTAACCCAGAAGTCTGCAGTTCGAACCCACCGGCCTCCGAGTCTAGGATGTGCCCGTCTGCCCGCCGAGTGGGTGCTGTGACTGTCCTGGCATGTAGTGCAGCCCACCGATGCCTACAGCGAGCGGACAAGAAGCCCGGTCTCAGCTGGGCCCTAGATACACCCCCGTGCACCCAAGGTCCTATTTCTGGAGCCACGTGCCTCTGACTTGCCTCTCCCCTTACCCCTTTACTTTGCAGTGGACATCCTCATCATGGATGACGACGACGTCCCCAGCTGGCCCCCGACCAAGCTGTCCCCACCCCCGGCGGCACCCCCAGCCGGCCCTCCAACACGATCTCGCCCGCCTGCGCCCTACATCTGCAATGAATGTGGCAAGAGTTTCAGCCACTGGTCCAAGCTAACGCGGCACCAGCGCACGCACACTGGCGAGCGTCCCAACGCCTGCACTGACTGCGGCAAGACCTTCTCGCAAAGCTCCCACCTGGTGCAGCACCGGCGGATCCACACAGGCGAGAAGCCGTATGCCTGTTCCGAGTGTGGCAAGCGCTTCAGCTGGAGCTCCAACCTGATGCAGCATCAGCGCATTCACACGGGCGAGAAGCCCTACGCCTGCCCCGACTGCGGCCGCAGCTTCACGCAGAGCAAGAGCCTAGCCAAGCACCGGCGCTCACACAGTGGCCTCAAGCCCTTCGTGTGCCCGCGCTGTGGCCGCGGCTTCAGCCAACCCAAGAGCTTGGCGCGTCACCTGCGCCTGCACCCAGAGCTGGCCGGGCCCGGCGTGGCAGCCAAAGTATTGGCTGCCAGCGTGCGTCGTGCCAAGGCGCCCGAAGAGGCAGCCGCGGCGGAAGGCGAGCTGGCCATTCCGGTGGGCGACGGCGAGGGCATCATCGTGGTGGGCACTGCAGGGGAGGGCGCAACGGCGGCCGTGGCCATGGAAGCCGGGCCCCGGGCACCCGGGCCTCGCTCGCGGCGCGCCCCAGTCCCAAAGCCCTACGTGTGTCTGGAGTGCGGCCAGGGCTTCGGGACCGGTGTGGCTCTTTTGGCGCACCAGCGCGCACAGCACGCAGACGGGCCAGGGGCGGCAAGCGGCGAGGAACCAGCGCACATCTGCGTGGAATGCGGCGAGGGCTTTGTACAGGGCGCGGCGCTGCGGAGACACAAACGAGTCCATGCCGTGGGTGCGCCCGCCGTCTGCAGCAACTGCGGACAGAGCTTCTATCGTGAGGGCGGCGAGGACGAAGGCGACCAGGACGAGGAAGAAGAGGGGGCCAAGTGCGGCGAGTGCCGAGGGGAGGCCCGGTAGGAGCGGCGGCCCGGGGGCGTGGGCAGGCCCCTCGGGCTCCCCAGGCTGGGCAGGGATCCAGAGACTCAGGGGAGACGGACAGAGGGCGGTGCGGTGCCCACGCCTGCACTTCTGCACTGGCTCTGTGAGGAGGGGGACTCGGGTACACTCGCTTCTCTTCGGATTGTGCCCATCCTCTCCAAGCCCTGCCCTTCCGCCTGGCCTGCCCTCTCTCCAGGTGCTTGTGAGAGACCTACAGGCCACAGCAGGACAGCATGGTCTCTCGTCTCCCCGTGCCGCCCGGGGTGCTACGAGGGACAGTGCGAACCCGGACCTTCCTCTGTGGAGATGTCCCTGGGGAAGGGAGGCCCCTGGTCCCATCTAGACTTTCTTTTAAACATCCCCATCCCCACCCCTCTATATGTTTTTCTCCCTTGTGGGTACCCTTGATTTTTCTAGCCTGAGTCGCTGCCTCCCCTCTCCTGGGTTGGGTTAATCAAGGAGCAAAGAAGCAGAATCAGCCCCCTCTGCAAACATACCCCATAAACACTGGGGTACCGTCTCTTTCCTGGCCTGGGTGTGGTGGGAGAAGGGGGGCTTCGGGCAATAAATGGCACTATCGAATTGTCCCTGCTCTGGTAATTCTTGAGTCTGGGTGGGGTAAAAGGCAAAGGGAGTTGCTGAAGTGGTCCCGCCCCAGGCCTTGGAGAAAGGTAGTTCCCGCTTCACATTTGGCTGTATAGACTTGACCGCCCGTAGCAGGATCTGGGTCTCAGAGACATGTATCGGGGGCCCTACTAATCTCATTCCAACAGGGCCAAGCCCCAGTGTGCGTTGCTCGCAGACCTGGGAGCCTCTTGCTGGTACGGAACTGGGGGGGTCTGATTTGATGGCAGTGGTTTAGACTCAAGTTTTTTGAGTTCATGCCTTCAGCACCACGGACAGAGCCCCACTGGGCTCAGAGAATCCAAGCACACTGCCTCAGCCTCTGGGCATCATCCCCATTCAACAGCTAAGGAAACAAAACAGGCTTCAGTGTGGATTCTGACTCACGGAGCCTGTGTAGACCCAGTGCTTCTATTCCCCTCGCCTCCCCTGTAGCATGATAGTCTGAATCTGCTGTCCACAAGCACACTGGTTATTCTTCATGGAATGTTTGAGAAGCGGAGGTGGCCACCAGTCAACAAAGCAAAATAAAGTGACTATTTGGATGGATAAAGTCAGCTGATGGACTACTGAAATTTGGGTCAGGAGTTGGTCTGTTTGGTAAGAAATGCAATTTTTATTTTTAAGTAACAGATAATGTGTGGCACTGTAAGATAAGCACCAGACTGCTAACCTGCAAGGTCGGCAGTTCAAACCCACCATTTGTTCCTTGGAAGCCCTATCCAGGGTCTCTGTGAGTTGGAACTGACTCAACAGCACTTAACAAAAACAGTAGATACGTGGACAAAAAGATTACTTAGCAAGTCTTTATCCCAACTCCCAGATTCACAACCCTCTCTAGATCATCTGCTCCCATAGAGAAGATGAAAGTTTTTAAATTGTATTAAACAGGAGCATATCACAATTCTATTTTGCCACTTGTGTGTATATGTTTTTAAATAAAAAGAAAACTTACTATCGAGTCTATTCAAATTCCTAGTGGTCCTGTAGGATGGAAGAGAACTTCCCCCATGGGGTTTCCAAGACTGCAAATTCAAGTTTTTCTAGTGGAGCCACCTGTGGCTACCAACTGCCGACCTTTTGGTTGACAACTGAGCATGTAACCATGGTGCCACAAGGGCTCTTGTGTGCATGTGGATACATGTGAACTTTGAAAAACACACGTTATTCTGTATGGACCTAGCCTTGTAGTGTGGGGGAGACCGCAATAAGCATACACTTATGTATCTATATGAGGGTAAATAAGAAATAGTGCTACAAAATTGTAGAAACCTTAATAAACAAAATTGTCAAAATTGGAAGCTATTGGTTCTGACACATCTTCCATATAAGTGTCTACATTTCTAAAGGCATCTAAGACTTCCGAAACCCACCAGCCACTCCTTGGGAACCCTATACAGGGTCACTATGAGTCGGAACCAACTCGATGCCACTTAACAACACTCCCTCGAAGAATTCTGCACTCTTCAGTTTTCACCACATCAAAATAACAGTTTTGTCATCTTTGTTCTTTGAGATTGTGGAACAAAAAAGTGTGAAGAGCAAGATCAGGGCTGTAGGGTAGACAGGGTAAGATCTCCTCAAGAAATTCTCAATGGACAGCCCTTGCTACCCTTGAATGAGCAAGTGCATTGTTGTTGGGGTGGGGGGGATCCTGTTGTTTTCTTTACTAGTATAATTTTCAATTTTCTTAGAACTTCTTCCTAATAATAATAATAACTTCCCCTCCCCCCCCCGTGATCATCATGTGTCCTTCAAGAAAATCCTTCAAGATGACTGCTTTGTTGTTGTTAAGTGCTGTCAAGTTGATTCCGACCCTTAGCGACCCTGTATAGGGTTTCTGAGGAGCAGCTAGTGGACTTGAACAGCCGACTTTGCAGTTCAAACAACTTTGCAGTCTGGTGCATTAGCCCACAGCACCACACCAGGACTCCAGATGACTGCTTTGTTGTTGTTGTTAAGTGCCATCGAGTCGGTTCCGACCCATAGTGACCCTATAACAGGGTTTCCGAGGGTGTAAATCTTTACGGGAGTAGAAAGCCTCATCTTTCTCCCGCAGAGCGGCTGGTAGTTTCGAACCGCTGACCTTGAGGTTCACAGCCCGATTCGTAACCACTACGCTACCAGAGCTCGCTGCTTTAGACTCCGCAAAAACAGATGCCACAATTTTCTGAGCTGACCTCTGTGCTTTGAATTTCAGTGGCCAGCAGACCCCCTCAGAAGCCAGCACTATTTTGTAGCCTTTTTTATGAAGGTACCCTAACGAGATTAGTGTACCCTAAAACAGGTGTATCACTGAGAGAGCTTGTCTGCAGCCATCCAGGGGTTGCAGAGACCTGGCTAAACACATTTGGTTTGGAACCAACCCATGAAGTATGAACTGGAACCTTAGTAGCAATCCTTCTAGATAAGTCTTGAGCGGTTTTACTCTTCGGAGACCCCTAGACGAAGAAGGGAGAGACTGATGTGGTTCAGTCACTGATGTGGATGAAGGCTGTCAGAATACCTATGCTTTGTGTCAGCTAATCCCTGACCACAAGTTCAAGTCACAACAAAGCACACTCAGGACTGTCTTGAGTTTTCTCTGTCTTATCAACAGCAATACGCACTCCGTACAATGTTCGGTACTTAATTTGCTGATGTGTTCAGTCCCAGATGTTCACTCACAGATGTTGAATTTTATGATTTACTGCTCAGAAGACTGCCATGGGACAGTCTAGAGCCCGATCTGCGATGAAGTCGGTGTTGACGTCGGGAGTCACAGCAGAGAGAAAATGACAATGTTCAACTCTAATGACTCAGACAACTGAACTTTGCACAGGCCCGACCGTCCTCAGGGCTCTGACTGAACTATAGACCAAGCCTAGGTTGTTGTTAAGTGCTGTCGAGTCGACCCTGTATAGCGACCCTATGTAGGGTATCTGAGGAGTGGCTGGTGGATTTGAACCTCTAACCTTTCGGTTCACACCGACATTGCAGTCGAGTGCATATCCTAGAGCGCCACATTGGGGCTCTAATCAGGCCTTTGGTAAGACCCTACTCAGTGTTCTGCGCCATCAGTTGTTAGTCGGAGAGCTTGCCGCCGCCCTGTTTAGCCCACTGTGCCCCTGGGGGCCCTTCTTCTTCCCCATATAGCCCACGTCCATTCTATGGATGCAGATGGTACAACCTTGCCTGCTGGACACAAACAGGACTTAAAACATTTAGTGAAGGAGGCCCAAGACCACAGCCTACAGTCTGGGCTGCATCTCAATGTCAAGAAAACACAAATCCTCAAAACTGGACCAGCCAACAACCAGTATCCTGACAGAGAATTCATGCAGTCACGGACCTAACCTTGTACTGTGGGGGTGACCGCAGTGAACAAGAAAACTGACAAGTAAACAAGATGATTCCAAAGTGACAAGTAAAGGCGGTCACACAAAGGGGGTTGGAGAAAAGATTGAAGTTGTCAAAGACTTCGTTTTGTTTAGGTCCACAGTCAATACGGAAGCAGCAGTCAGGAAATCAAGACATGTCGCATTAGGCAAATCTGCAAAAAACACCTCTTTATCAAAAAAATTTTTATTCATTTTTTTTTTTTTAAATCTTCCTTTAGTCAAGTTCTGATCGTCCAGCCATTGAAACTAGGTCAAATGGGTACTATTTGCAAGTATGGGCTTTCTTGTGCATCTCCCCTCACTTCATATCAGCTGGACACTTCACTCTCTGCTCTAGCCCTCTGTGGCTATGTCCTTGTCCATGGGTTAAGGAGTCCCCAGGCCTCACCATACTGCTGACCAACCAGGTCTCACCATTCTCGAGGTTGACAGGCATCTATTGAACGTGGTCAGACTCAGCCCACATCTTCATTGCTGCCTTTCCCCCTCTTCCACTCATCAGTAGACCAATGTGATCGCCAGCAAGCTTACATGCCTGCTCCTGTATTCCCTTTGAGTTTCAGTCTTGGAAGGGGGTTTATCCTGAAGGAACTTGATTGCCTGTCTTGATGGCTCTCCTGAGGACAACTTGCTTGTTCTTGTGGTAGTCTGTCAGGCTGCCCTTTTTGTTTTTTATTTTTCCTGCTGGTCTTTCTTTCAAGAAGTATCTTCTGTTCCTTTAGCTGTTCCAGGCTGGTCTGCTTATCTTTTCGAGTGTAAATTTCCCCCCTCAGAAGATTCTGGATAGGGATCAGGATCCCACCTAAGGTCTTACACACTACAAAGGCACCATAAGAAGCCTCTTTCACTGGGCAAGGTCTAGCACCCATTTTAGGTATTCCAATCAGTTATAGGCTGAAGATGGGCTTACAAGCTTTCTATAATCATGTTTCCCGATATTCCTTTCTCTCCCCCTTAGGTGTCTTTTACAATAGT